CCGGGGGAGGGGCCCCACGTGGCGGCGCCGGCCCCGCCCACTCAGCTTCTGTGTTACGGTGGGGAGACCCCCATCGCCTGCGCTAGGCGGCAGCCCTGGGCGGCCCCGGGTCCTGGGCGGCTGCACACGCCCTTCCGGTGCCCGTGAGCCCCGCTGGGGGGGCGGGGCGCTGATGGGGCGGCAGAGCTCCGCTTGCTACCTGCGGGTGCTCTGGTGCCCGGGGTGAGCCCCCGAACTCCCTGCTGGCCCCCTGGCGCCTCCTGGCTCTGTGCTGCTCCCCGTTCCTGCTCCTGGTACCAAGCACCTGCAGGGAACTCCTGTAGCGCTGCCTCCTTCTGTGGGATTGGTGCTGTAGGCAGCCATGAGGTACTGAGTAAGCAACAAGTTTGAGTTTAAAAGCTGCCTTCTCTTGCCCATGTGCAGCCGCCCTGGTGGAGCAGTGGCCTGCTGCGTGTCTTGCTGCCCTGCTCTGCTGTTTGAGTGCTGTGTGTAGGCTGTGTTGGCTCTGCCCTGGGAGTGCTGGCTTTCGCCAATGCTTTTTAATGCAGTTCCTCTGCCATTGTGTACTTGGATGCAGAAGGGCGAGGCCAGAGCAGGATGTCTCCAGGTGGCACCTTTTCTTTGGCACCGGAAGTCAGAGTGATGCGGCAGGCCACCCCCTGGTTAGCTACAAACCTGTAGGAGGCTGGGAGTTGATATTGATTGTACTTGGGATGGTTCTTATTGATGAACAGAGTCCTGAGGGTTTGTGAAATCCCAATATGAACAGTGGCACCCTCTGTGTGTGAAGGCTGCTAAGTGCGCCAGCTGGCTGCAGAGTCTAGGCTCTTGGGTGTATGACGTTCCCCATGGCCCCGGTCACGTGCAGCTGTCTCATTGTTCAATTCCCCACACTCCCAGTGTGATGTGTTGTTTGTCAAGCGAGAACAATGCTGTGTCTGTGGGGGGGAGCAGTGTTACTGTAAATTACGCTAGGATATCATGAAGAAACTCTTTCAGGCTGGCTTCTCCCCCACAGAAGTGTTGGTTGGGCTTTGTGCAGCTATCCTCTCCCCCATATGCTCGGTTTAACAGATAATGTGTTTGGCTGAGTCTGAGTAATGGGCCCAGTTGATGGGAACAGACAGCAGAGGTGTTATTGTCTGAACTGTGGTTTATGGGTAGTCTGCTGCTACTGCTGGGGAGAGAACCCAGTCTGGGTTCTGGGGGAGAAATGAGTTAGGCCCAGGAACAGCACAGCCTCGTTTATGCAGAGAGGTATTTAACTGTGTTAATCTGAGGCCAGGCAGAAGGCTTGGCAGAGTTGTATCTTAGAGACTACCTAATTCAGGGATGTGTAAATTTTCATAATCAACAGCTTACTTTGTGAGATGTTTTTGTGGCATCACATGAAGTGAGCTGTTGCTTGTGAAATATTATGCATCTCTGAATTGGTTCGTTTATATGGTGCAACTCTACCCTGCTTGTCTGCTTGTTTCTGTAGAGAGAGCGGCAGGGGTTCCTCCAGCCCTAGAACACAGCAGACGTGGCCCAGCTAACCTTAGAGCAGCAGTGCCCCATATAGAAGGGACCATTTCAAGTCAGTCCTACTTCTTGCCCACCAGCAGTCTATCTCTTGGATTGAGGCCCTGTTGTGCAAACCGTACAGCATCACCCTGAATTAGCTTTGGTGAGTCAAGGTGGTACTGTGACTGGTCTCCAGGGCTGGTGAGCCGGAAGGCTGAACTCTGCCTAGGCAGAGGCCCATCTAGTACCAGATGGTCCAGAGCAGTGGTTCTCTACAAATGGGTCCCGGTAAAATAGGTTAACATTGATGACCAGTCCTGACCCAGTAAATAGTTTAAGTAGAAAACAGCCCTCTGGCCCTGCCGGTGCCCCTCACTCCCAACCCCAACTCCTGGGGGGTGGGGCATGGGGTGCCCCAAACAGCCCCTTGCAAGCTGGAACTCTGCTAGGGAAAAGCCATGGTTTCCCATGTTTTTTTCTACTTTAAATCCATTTTTAAAGTTGGTTGATCCATTTTTAAAGTTTGTTCGCGACCCTTTCATATATTCTTGCAACTCATTTCTGGGTCAAGAAATGCTGGTCCAGAGGAAGGAGCAAGAAGTGCTACAGAGCAAGTTTCTCCCTAATCTCCTGTCGGTTTATGGTTTGTGCCCTGATGTAGGAGGGTTTATCTATCGCCCTTGTTTTTATCCTGGCTGACGTGGCAGTTCTGTCAATCCTGTTAAATAGCTGAATCTTTCTTTCTGAATCCTACAAAGTTCTGGGCTCCAGTGGTCTTTTGTAGGAGTTAATTAGATGCTCTGATGATAAATAAGGAGAGTGTTTCTTTTCACGAGTGTTTAAACGTGCTGCCTTTCCATTTTATTGTTTGCCTTTTTGCTTTGCTATTGTGAGCAGGGGTTGGGGGAGGGTTGATAGGATTGCCTGACTTAGCTTTTCTATGTCTTCATTATGTTGAATACCTCTGTCTTACTTTCATACCTCCCCTCTAAACTTGTCCCAAATCTTTCATCTGTTCTCATGAAAGACTTTCCAGACCTTTTCTCATTTCAACACCCCTTTCATTTCTGCTGTTTTTTCAGAGAGTGTGATCAGATGAGGGCAAGGTATCATTTCATGTAAGGCATGGTAAAACCTCAAGTATTCTTTTGTCATGCTCCTTAATTGAGGTGTTTACGTTTTTAGGCCACTGCTGCCTACTAAACAGGGCTCTTTGCTGTGTGGTGCGCAATGGTTCTCAGGTCTCTTTCTTGAGCAGTGTCTGTCATTGGTCCTCTCTGTCAATTTAACTCCTCTGGACTTGAGAGAAGAATCTAGAAAGTATTGTAGTCTAAAAAGATGGCCTCCTGAGGTCCCTTCCAATCCTAATTTCCTATTCTGATTGTGCCATTGACACACATTAGCAATTATTCTGGTGCAGCCTTTGAGATCTGAAAGCCTGTCTGATCTACCCTGAGCAAAGTGGCCACTTTTTTACAAATCTGACACCTAGACTTTGCCTGGCTCAGGGCTGTACAAGCAGTTTGTTCCGGGGGAGCAAATGTGTCCCTTTTTGCATTTTTATAGCTGGAGAACCAGTCCTATTTATCCCTTATTGTCTCTCTGAAGGAACCAGAGAATCCTCTGTTTGTCTGTGCATTGCTTTAGGTCAGCAGTTGGCAACATTTCCTGGTAGGCTGGATCTGAGGTGGCTGACAGTAGAACCCGACTACTGCTGCTCCTCCCTGCCACCCAGTTGCAGCACAGCAGAGGAAGGGGCCCAGGCCAGGAAGTCCCTGTTGCCAAACACTGTTGAGCACTCCAGCCACTGAATGCTTCTGGAGCCAGTCACTCTGGGCTGAAAGTTGCTGATGCCTGCTTTAGGGGATTGCAAATCTAACGTGTAAGAAGATAGGAAGCATGAATAGTGATTCAAGGGAACCAGAACACCTAAATTAGTCTGCATCCAATGCTTTTTAATTAACCACATGCTAGAAGTCCCCCTGGCTTTTGTCAGCTCAGGATATGATTGAAGGAACTGAGTTGGGGTGAGGGAAGAAAAGAGTCTGGTGGAAGTGACAAACATGCAGGGTCCTGGAAAGAGCTGCTTGCATTTTCTGCTTGGCCTAGGCATGTGGACATAGTGGGGCTGTATTTCCCACTCTCATGATCCATCTCTCCTACAGATAACTGACTCGGCTGGACATATCCTCTATGCCAAGGAGGATGCCACTAAGGGCAAGTTCGCCTTCACAACTGAGGACTATGACATGTTTGAGGCATGTTTTGAGAGCAAGCTACCTGTGGGTAAGTGGAAAAAAAGGCTGGCTGCTTCCAGCACTCCAGTCAAGTGCATTTAGATGAGGGGAACATTTGGGAAAGGGTTTGGGGTAAAGTGACCCCCTGTCTTGTTTGCAGAGCACTTCACAATTATTCAGGGGGAGCAGTGGGAGGAATGGGATTCCTCAGGTCAAGATGTTCAGTGTTACAGAATAGGCATAACACTAGCTGTTAGATCAGGGGTGGGCAAAATACGGCCCAGGGCAGGTCCCTTGGCCTCACCCAGTACAAGTGCAGAGGGCAGCCTGGACCATGGCACATGTGGCTGGCTCCACTGCTCCCAGACGCACAGTGGGGCTGGGACATCACAGCAGCTGGATTCTGCCTCCTGGCAGCCCCAGTGACGGCTCATTCTAGTGGTCACTGGCAGTGGGCACCACCAGATCTGGCCCTGCTGACTGAGCACCCTGGCCTGTCTACCCAGCACCCACTGCCAGAGGTGCTAGACAGAGAGGGTGGGTCAGGTCTCCAGGGAGATGGGCCCAAGACCCCAGCAGGCAGGGCAATGCTCAGTGAGGCGGATGGGGCTCTGACTGGGCAGGGAGAGGTGGCCAGGGCCAAGATTGCAGGTCAGTGGTTAGGGCAGAGCCGTAATCTGCTTCTTGCATGACATCCTGACAGGCCTGACGTGGGAGTGAGGCAGAGCCCATGCCTGTGACTTGGCTCTTGCTGCCCCTGCCTCTGCAGAGTTGTATGTGGTCAGCCCCAGTACAGCATGGCTGCGGAGCAGTGTGGTTTAGCAGCGTGGGATGTCTCTGATGGATTGTTACCAGATTAGGCCACCCTGTGCTTTTGGGCCACCCTGCACTATACTGGAGCTACCCGCATGTGCCTGTGCTGGGGTGGGAGTTGGGTCATGAGTATACGCTTCACCCTTCTCCCAGGTCGGGCTGGTCAGGATCTGTTGTACAGGGAGTGAATTGCTGCTCTGCCCTGGCCCCATGCTGTCACTGACCCAAGATCTTGGCTGTGGCCCTGACCCCACCCTCCCATCACACTCCCACCCTCTGCTCCTTGTCTTCCCACGGCCCTGGCCCATCAGCCCAGCTGTGCACACCCTGTCGGTGTAGTAATCTACTAGTTGGAGCTCATCACAACTCCCTAAGTGGCCCTCCAGCCCAAATAATTGCCCATCCCTCTAGTTAAATGGAGAACAGTCACTACCTGCATTATTGTTGAGAGTGAAGTTGTCCTTATGTCTAGTCAGCAGAGTACTCAGGGATTCTTTTGGTTGAGGCCCAAGACAAAGGACAGGGAGGACTCCCTGAAGAAGAACCATGGTGCTCACTAGAGGAGGAAGACAGATCCCCCAGAAGTCTAAACGGGACAAGACTATCCCTTCTTGCACTTCCATTCTGCTTCTCCTTTCAGGCTCCTTTCCTTCCTCCCTGTTTGCCCACCTCTTCGTTTTCTTTGGAGGAATGTGATCTCTGTGTGCCCCCAGTGGTGGCAGCCATGTGCCAGGCTAGTAGCCCCTTTCTAGGGAGGGTGTTTTAACCTTTAGCAATGCTTTTGGGCTATACCCAGGACCCCTTCCTTTGAGTGATCCACTGACGGAAGGGGAGATGAGGAGGACGTCAGTCTTGCATTCGTGCTGCAGGGACAGTTGCTTAATGAGCATTTGTGCTGGCGTTTCCTGTGAGCATGACGCATTTGCCTGTCTCTTGGCTGAGCATCTGGGCAGGATCAGCTTCAGCATGAATACCCTAAAACAGCAAACATGTGGGCTCCTTCCCCAATTTGAGGAGAAGTATCTCTGCTTCCTTCTCTTGTTTCCTTCAGGCTTAAGGGCTCTCAAGTCCTCTCACAGTCACTACACAGATTATGCTTTTGGGTATACCATTTCTTTCATGCCTTATCCCAAAAGATCCCAGCATGCTTTGCTTACCAAACAGAGAGATCATCTCATCTCCAAACCCTGCCCAAAGCAAGGCACCTTTGCTGTGGGACCCAACAGCTATTTTGAACGTCATTTGGGATATGAGTAACTCCTGCAGCTGAAATAGAGGAATTTTCAAAGGAAAGTGATACTGGCTTTGGGTGGGATGCTGGTTATGTGATCCTTGTGTGCTGTTTCTCAGGATCTTCAGTGACCCCAAGTGCTCAGGGCTTTGGTTGTACTTCTCATTTAAAACGGAAGTGCCTCCAGCAGCCCAGTTCTTCAGTAACACTGCACTGGGGCACTAGGGGCAATGTTGACTCATTCACACCCTTCACTATACTACTTGTCTCTTCCTGGAACATGTCCAGACATTTCCATACACACTTTCTGTCTCCACTCAGCTGCCTCTGCCGCTAGCAGACAAGAGGCAGCTTCTGCTGCCACATGATCACATGCACTCCCATGCATTTCTGGCAGCTCTGTGTGACTGTTCAGCAATTGGGCTGCCAGACTGGAGTTGACTCTAGAAATGTACCAGTTGCTGAAGGGACCACAGAAGCTGCCAAAAGGTGCAGGAGTGTCTCCTTGTGCCTTCTGCCAGCTACTGGACAATAGCAAGAGCCTTGCTTTGCTTGGCAGAGGTGGTTTAATTCTGCCAGCAGAGCATCGGGTACCACTGACAACTTTATAGTATGACTAAGCCTTCACTTTCATTATCATAGTCTGAGGCAATGTGGCTTTAGGGTTGCTTCAGTTAGCTGTATGTAGACTTGTGTTCCTGCTGCTGCTGACAAATGCTTCAGTCTTGGCCCTGGCCCCTCACAGCTTGCTGTCAGGCTCCCTTGAGTTTTCTTTTAGCGATTTCTATCTTGATGTAGGCAGAGGATTTCCAGGTGCAGCCTGCCTACAGAGGCTCAGTGGTGTGAGGTAACTCCAAATGCCAGTGCCTGAGAGCTAAGAATTCCTCAACTCTGAGGGTTAGTATTTGGTGGCAGCTGAGCTGCCTATGTCTCTGTATCCAGTGGTGCCATGGATTCTGCAGTTGGGACCTTGCAGGTGTGCGGGCCGGGAGCAGTCCGGGCCCTTTTTCGTGCTGCGCGGGCTGTGGCCAGCAGCCCAGGCACGCTGGGTCGGAGAGAACAGGCGACACGCTGGAATTAGGCACGGATGCGTAATGGTTGATTCAAGATTGTTTACTTACACCGAAGATGGTCGCGGTGTAGGCTGGACAGTTTCCCAGGCACAGCTCTGCTTAAATCCTCGTTTGAGGACTCAGACAACACTCGGATCACTCCCACGGAGTTGTCGAGGCTCCGTGGATCCTTTTGCGCGCAGGGATTACGTCGAGGATTGCGATCGGTGACGGGGAGAGGCTAGAGGCTGATCAGACCCCTGTTGCCTGCTTGAAATGCACTGGGTCCAATAGGCTCCGCAGCGCTTAGAGATCTTCACACAGCGTGAAGTCTCCTCCTCCTGGTGTTCGTGGAGTCCTCCAACTTGGGCGGAAACCACTCAAGCCTTTTATACGGCTAGCAAGCCAAACGCAAGCCGCCACGGGTGAATAATTTCACGCAAGCCAGTAATGGGGCTCGAATTATAATACAAATGGCGGGAACTCTTTGCAAAGTGCATTTCTGTGCTGCAAAGAAGAAATGCACACTGCAAAGAAAGCTACAAATTGGCGGGAAAATAATTCAGTGGTGCCAAAGCGCACACAAAACAAAATCACACCTTTGGGTTGTGACGGCAGGCAATGCTGTTGCATATGCAGAGCTTAGTGAACGAAGACATGTGGAGCTGCAGTGTCTAAAAGGGTATGGGTTCCTAAGGCTCTGGGGGACTTGAGTTTTTTGGAGAGGAAGCTCTAGAGTCCTGTGAACTGTTGGCTGTGGGAGAATTGACTGAACTCTGCCAAACCTGTCCTGATGGCTGATTCTCCTTGCACCTCTGTAAAGACATTACAGCCTGCCCCGATTAGGCTGGGAGGACAGTAGACTTTGCTCAACAAAGCAAACAGATCTTTCTGGGCTGCAGCCAGGGAGGTCACTGTCATCAGCATTGTGGCTGTGTTGGGGAAGCAGAGCTGTTGGTGGAGGAAATATGGGACCGTTGGACCAGGTGGGGTTTGGGCAAAAGGGATTTCTCAACCCCTGGCCGCAGAAATGGGGAAGTGGAACTGAGAGGCAGCAGTGTAACTCTGTGTGAAGAGCTCCAGGCTCTGGGACAGTGCTGCCCACCAGTGCTGGGGATCTCCCTGTATTTGTGAGTGGTCAGCAGGCTGTTTCCTCTTCTTCCCCAGCACTCAGCTCTTCAGGCTGTGGTTGTCTTGTCCTGCATTTGCCCAGTAGCATGGAAGCACCCTGCCACTAATTCCTTAGAGGCTCTTGCTCTGGGCTGAGCATCACCTATTTTCAGGCCAGAATTGCCCTTGGGATCCCCCACTGCCAGTGAAATAAACAAGTGCCTGGTTCTCTTTTGGGGGGGGGCGGGATGGACAGACTGGAGCATAATTTTGCTGCCAACACTGGGAGCTCTCCCCTATGTGTCTGAAGCGGCGCTTTCTCTTTCTGCTCATTGCCTCACCTCAGGAAGAGAGAGACCTTGTCTGGGGTAGTCCCAGTGCCTTTCCAGGGTGACCTGTTGGAAAGGCCTTATCTCCCTGGGGTGGGCTCTGCAGCAACTGGACTGTGAATCAGGACTTCTCATCTCCAAAACCATGGGAACATTGTTTTTATTTCACTCCTGCCACCACCAGCTCTAGGAACAGTAAGGAATTATTTGGACTCAGATGAGATTGTGCAGTAGTTGGGGCCCAGCTTGAGTTTCTCTCTGGAATGTCTCTGGACTTGGGGTCCTCCTACCTCTGTAGGAGGTCTGCTTCTCCCTTCATTGTGCTCAGCATTTCTTATGCTCTTACAATCCTCTAGGAGCTGTCTCTTATGCTCACCCTGCCAGCTACGGTTTCTTCCCTCAGTCTGAGACAAAGCCCATGTGGTGGTTGAAATGCAAAGGCTGTGTGTTGCGTTGTAAGCAGCAGATGAGATTTAGTTTTTAATTCTGTCTTCATGATGTTTCCTCTTTGTGAATTTCATTACTTGGCTTCTAAAAAATAAACTAATTTCATCATGTCCAACCCTAAGGATCCCCACCCCCAGCAAGGTTTGAACTCTGGCCCTTGAGATCCTACAGACCAGACATCACTCACTTGAGTTAGAGCAGTACCTTATGTGTAGGCTGGACCACCTGCTAAGAAAGGTTACAAAGTATGTAGTACCCCCAGGTTCTACAGCTACTTGGGAGATAGGTGTCCAGGACTCTGCTCTTGGCCGTGGAGGGATGACTGGCTAGTCCTTTTCAGGTTGCTGGCCAGAATGACCCAGCTCAGGCACAGGGTGGGTGGGAGCTAAGACCCAGTTGGCATGGAGAGCTCCTGCTTCCACTGCTGTTTCCCAGAGGAAGCACAGGGAGAGCAACCTCTGCCAAACACTGCTTAAGGCCCCATCTGCAAGCTGGATAAAATGGCTCCGTGGGCCGGATTCAGCCTACAAGTCATAGGTTGCTGACCCCTGGGAGAGAAGAGCTGTGTACCTCTGTTTGGCATGTTGACCCTGAAAAGCAGGGTAAGTGAGGGAGGACAAGGGGATGAAACTTTATCTTGTATTTGGGGTCTGGGATCTATTCCCCTCTCTGCCTTATGCAGCCTTTCCAGTTAACTGCTTTGTAACCTGGAGGGGTGACACCTGACCATCTCCTGAAGCACTGCAAGCTTTGAGTATACTTTGTGATAAGAATTGGAAGTGCTCCAGCCAGTAAAGGTGAGATCTGGACCCTGGCAGTCAGCCCTGGAGACTTTTCCTTAGGCTGCAGAGTGTTTGGCTGGGAGCATCTCACATCTGTGAAGACTTCCTAGTTAGATGGCACGGTGGAACAAGTTGCTTCGTTCAGTTTACATATGAGCTGCTCTGCAAAATGCTGCCCCCTGGATGTTCTCTCTCCTTGCCTGCCAAACACAGTACTAGGATGTCACCATGTTGCTGTTGGCATAAGCTTCCCCATCCCCTCTTTGACTTGTTTTTGGTGGTAGCTTTCCCTGTCTTTAAGTGCTTCCTTGCCCTAGCTTGGCTGTTGGCTGCAACCTTTATCCTAGTCATTGTGTGCATCTAGTCCAGCAGCTCAGTGGCACAGGGCTGAGCAGGCTCTGGGTATGCTTAACAGTTTGTGCCACAAGTGTAGCCAAGGTAGGTGCACTGATGAACTGTTTGCAGTCACCTCTGCAGGCTTCACTATAGACTAGCTGCATCATTGCATTGAAGAGGGGGCTGCTTTTGCTGTGTCATATGCAAAATTAGCTGTGACCTTAGATTTTGGCAGCTTGCTCATGTGGCTTGTACTAGGCAGGAGAGTGGTTCCTCAGTCCAGTATCTCTTCCTGTGATGACTCCCCCCCTGGGCAGTTTGTACCTGTCATAGCTTGTTCTTTGTTTCCTCTTGCAGTGGTTTGTATCCTGCTACTTTGTGGTTTTGACTACAGCTTGCTTGCATTATCTCTGGGAGATCCTCCCTCAGCCGGGGTTTGTTCAGAAGTGTCTGTGACTTGAGGCAGGACTGTGCAGCTGGCCGGAGGTGCATAAGGGAGGGGTGTTGAGTCCTTCCCCAGTGGGGGGAGCTGGTGATTTCCTGGCAGGCAGAACTCTGTACACAATGAATCCTTTCATTGCACTTCCAGGAACAGGGCGGATGCCGGACCAGCTTGTGATCCTGGACATGAAGCATGGAGTGGAAGCAAAGAACTACGAGGAGGTATGTCCCTTTCCTAGCACTCATGTGATTCCAGGGCAGATCTGGGGCTCGTGATGGGAAGCTGCTTTCCCAGCTGTGATGACAGCCTGTCTGCAACCCAGAGCTTCCAGACGAACCTTGTGGTAGAGCTTTAAAAAAACTGCTACTCAAATTCTGTGGGGGCTGAGTCCCAGTGTGTGAATTTCTTAAGTCAGGCAGCTTGACTTGGCTTCTGGATGTATGTATTAGAAGCAGCCAGCAGCTGAGACCAGTAGCTTTCTCTGCCCCAGCAACCTAGGACAACTTGGCAAGGGAGCTATTCCTCCTAGATGTGAAGCAGGATTACAAAAGGCACTGACTTGTGAGGGGCCCAGGGACAATTTCAGTGTCTCATACTTAGGACAGCTAAAACTTACTCCTGTTTGGTTTGACACTGTGTGTGGGGTATAGTGGGGCTTGAGAGCTGAATCTCTCAGACCCTTTGAGTCCTAGCTTTCAGCTTCACCCAGGACCCTTTTTGTTGGGCCTGGGCTTGGGATATCATTTGCCTTGTGGTTGGGAGTCTCTGGATGGTTTGGCCCATGGGTTTTGATGACTTGTGTTAACAAGCAGACTTGAGCTTTTTGGCATTTGACCTTCAGTGGTATTGGTGCTTGGGAAGATTAGAGCCCCAAGGTGGGGAAGGCTCTTAGAGATGTTCATTGGCAATAACAGGTATGCACCAGATAGGAAACCAGAGTGGCTCAGGGAAAAGAGTGGGCAGCAAAGCAGGTAGGAATTTGTAAAATAATGTGGTGGCAGGTAAGGTTAGTGCTACCCCTGAGGTAAGTACATAGAACCCATGTCTGCTGGAGCAAGAAGACAGACCCTCTACAATCCTGGGCTGACCATGCCTGGGGCACTGCATTCGGTTGTGGGCAGCCACTGTCAGGCTGCTGACAAATTAAGGGCTCAGAAGAGCAAGCACTGATTGGGGAGTAGCTAACGGCATGGGCGCGGGCCTGAGGGAGATGTGATGAAATCATTTGGTTGACACCTGGGAGAGATTAGCCAGGAGGATTAGGATGAAATTAAGGTCTTGTGTGTGTGTGTACGCGCGCGCGCACACACACGCACGCGCGCGCACACACACGCACGCGCGCGCACACACCCACCCTCCTTAAAAGAATGGAACTGTTAAAAACATACAGCCCCCAGTGAGGTCACAGCTACGCTGATGTAAATGTGCTTATACTACTGTACCTTGCTCCTGTGCTGGAAGGAGCTTGATCTTCTATACTAGCCTAAACAGCCCTGTATTTACTTTGTACAGACTCCTCACTAGGCCCCACCACAGTCTGACAGAACGGACACTGAAGCAGAGTTCCCGCACAGTTTGAAGATGGGGCTGCGAGATGTAGGAAACTCTGATTGACCCACTTGCATGCCTTGGTGAAGCCACTCCCAGGATTAGGACCAGGGTCAGCAAAGGAGCTGAAAGCCCAGTACCCATGCAGGTTCTTAGGGCCCTGTCTGCATGAGAGGGACTTCCTTGGCACAGCACATTGCCTCCGGCTATTGACAGCTCAAGGAGACTTGATGTCAGCTGCCTGAGGAAGGACTGCCCCCTAGTGCACAGCCTGTGCATTGCATAGAGCTTGGCTCAAAGCATCAAGGGCCATACTCCTCCTGTAGAGACATGCTGCTAGGGGAAGCCTTTTTGGAACACCCTTGGCTGCCAGCCCCCCTGACTCTGAATCCCATCTTGGCTCTTACCTCAAAGAAGAGTGGTTAAATATCCATTTCTAGGTGAGGGATGAGAGTGAATTTGGCAGTGGTTTGGTAGGAGGTGTGGGGAGTTGCTGTGGTGCTAGCCCCTATCATACATGTGGTGCAGCAGTGTAAAAAGCAGCTGGCGTTAACGTGGCTTATTCCAGTGTTGAGTGAGCCCTGGTTGCTGACACCACCGTGCAGCATATGGCTAGTAGGAACTTGCTCCTGTGTCATTTTTCACTGCAAACTCTTAAAGGGAGATTACCAAGTTTCCCTTTAGCTTTGCTTATTAACCTTGTTCAGGGGTGTGAAGGTCTCAATCTGGGACAGGCTGTTCCCTGGTGGAGTCTTCCTTTTCCCATCCTTTCATTCTGAATATGGGGAAAAATAGCATCTCATTAATGTCTGGGCTTGTTTCCTCAGCATGGATTTGGCCACAGAATTCCTTGGATAGCTCCTGTGGGCCTGCTGTTTGCAGGGTTGGGTATGTCATGCATAAAGCTCTTCACCAGGGGTGGACAAAATGTGGCTTACGGACCGGATGTGGCCCGCCAAGCCATTCTACGTGGCCCATGGGGCCCCTAAAAAATTTAGCAAATGAATATTAGTCTGCACTGGGCTGCCTGTCATGCAGCCCTCGATGGCTTGTCAAAACTCAGTAAGCGGCCCTCTGCCCAAAAGAATTGCCCGCCCCTGCTCGTTAAAGAACTGCTTGGCTAGTTCATGGCATCCCAATTTTGAACGTTTCTGTAAACCCATTCATTCGCTTTTTGCTCCGTCCGCCTCAGAGGACCAGTGTTTCTAGAGCAGTGCTTTTCAACCTTTTTCCATTTGCAGACCCCCTTGAATTGTAAGTATGGGTATTCACATACTTTTGATTGATCATAGTCATCTTTTGCGGACCCCTTAGTTGTGGTCTGTGGACCCCTATGGGGTCTGCAGACCACAGGTTGAAAACCATTGTGCTAGCCTGTCTGGTGTTTAAGCTCCCCCTGCTGGCTGCACTGAACAGCTGCAGCTGTATCAAGACACTTGTCTTATGTTTGTTTCTGGAAGTAATTCTGCTGCTGTGCCAGAGACACTGCCCAGTCTTGGGCCAGGCAGTGACCAGTGCATGGGGTTCCTCTATCCTTCTCCTTTCAGAATTAATTGCATTTCATGCCTCCTTATATGAGCCTTTCCAGTGTGGTAGCCCTGGGGAATAAACGGTGGTATTCCTTCACTCAATGTCACTTGCTTGTATTGCTGTGTGAAATTTACCACTTATACATGTTGCTGCCACACTGCAAGGAGATTTTAAGCATAGTAAAGGCAAGAATTGCCATCTGCTTCTCAGTAGCCTCCGTTGTATCACATTGCCATTCTTATGCTGTAGGTTGAGGTACAGTGTAGTCAGGTCATATCCCTTCTGGGAAGAAGAAATTAATTCATTGTGTTCAGACACTTTTAAGCTTGGATGTCTGTAGTAACAGTGTGCGCTTTCTGATTGAATTTCCTGCATTGTTTTTTGAAAAATTCTTAGGCCTGAGGTGCAAAGGCTTCCCTTGCTGGTATTACACCATCACATACAGGCACCTGCAGCTTGGTCTTTTCATGTTTTTCTTTCTTGGAGGTTCGGGTCCGTGGGAGACTCTGGCAGCCCACACCTCAGAAATCAGTTATGAATAGACTAGAATTGGGGGGAATCGGGAAGGAATGTGCATAAGCACACGTTTATATGCCTGCATAGTTCTTGCTGTGAGGAACAAATGTTTGATATTTCACAGGGGGTAGTGAGGTGTAATCACTGTGTTGTCCTACAGTGTTTTCTGGCCTTTGAGGGACAACTTCTCTGGGGAGAGAAGCACGTTGCGGCGCCGCCGCGCCCCCCTCCCCCCCCCGGCATATGTGACTTGAAATGTGCTCAGATTGGTTTCAGGAGTAGCCCACACAGGAGCTATTGTTCCTTGCTAGTAACTGATTTTCCTTTACCAGATCGCTAAAGTGGAGAAGCTAAAGCCTCTGGAGGTGGAGCTGCGGCGCCTGGAGGACCTTTCTGAGTCAATTGTCAATGATTTTGCTTACATGAAGAAACGAGAGGAGGAGATGAGGGACACCAATGGTAAGAATTCATGTATCCCCTTCCCCCCAAGAGGACAGGAGATGTCAGAACTGTCTTCTCACAAGGTCTTTGTTATTGGGGCAGAATTTGGAGTTCAGTCTGCAGCTGTTCCTAATTATTTCATTCCCTATTTAGAAACTTCCAAAGACTGTTGGAGTTGGGAGGTTGGAGGGAATATTCAATTAGTCCTGGATCTCTCCTCTCTAGATGTAGGTTCCTTCTTTCTCCATCTCCTGGTCCCTAATGTGTGCTCATGTTCCAGCCCAGTGCTGCTTCTATCAGATTGAGCAGTTTTACCGTTATGACAGTGCTGCATTGTCCATTTGCCCTATTCCCTCCTTCCTGCCCCTCACCCTCCTCCACTGTGCATGAAATCCCACCTTTGAAGCTTGGCAGGGTGGGGAAAGGTGAGGCGCTAGAGATGACTGTTCAGGAAGTACTGGTTTCCTGGCTCTGGGTCTTTTGTGCTTCTGCAATGGTTTATTGTCTATTTCAGAGTCAACCAACACGAGGGTCTTGTACTTCAGCATCTTCTCCATGTGCTGTCTTATTGGACTGGCCACCTGGCAGGTTTTCTACCTGCGTCGCTTCTTCAAAGCCAAGAAGTTGATTGAGTAAGAAGGCAACTCCCCTTCCCCTCTCCTGAGCCCTGCTGGACACCATCGGAACCCAACAATGGCTCTTCAGAGCCATCTTATAGATGATACCACTGACTGGAGCTTTCCTGCAGGAACTGGCCCCCTAAAGTGGGAGGAGGGGAGCATAAGCACTGGAGACAGCTGGGGGAGTCTTCAGTCCTGTTGGAATATGGGTTTGGGGGAGGGTGTGATGGGTGCAGGGACTCAGGGGGCAGCGATTAAATAAAAATGATGTTTCCCTGACAGCTGCAGTTGGCTTTTGCTGCTGTCTGTTCTCCTTTATAATCTAGGTTTGATTCTGTCTCCTATTGTGCCTGTGACCATTGCATTACTCTAAGTGACTTGAATATGCTGAGCTTGTTCTCTGCCACACTAAAACTGGAGGTGGGGAAGGGGTGGGACCCCAAGCTCTGACCTGCTGGAACCATATCCTTGTGCCAGCAGGGCTTGTTGCAAAGTGACATGGGTTACTGTTTTAGCAGGGACTCTGAGGCATAGTCTTTGTCAGACCTTGGTGTTTCTCCCTGTGGGAGCTGGAATCCTTGGCTGATGACTGGAGGGAATTGGGCACATGGGTGTGGAGGAAGGGGAACTAAATAATTTAACAATAAATTGTGGAGCTTGGAGATGAGAAGCCTGCCTTGCCTCGGACAAGTTGTTTGGATTTGGCCCAGTCTGACTGGCTATTTTGCCTTGGATTTGCTTTTTCCATTCTGGAATGATGAAGCAGTTTCCTAAAAGCAGCTTTGTTTCTGAGGAGCTTTGTGTGAAAATGGGAAGCCTCACACAGGTATATTTGTAGTGCGAATGGGAACGTGGTAGGTTGGGAATTTCAGTCTTTGGTAAAGAACAGTGAACCCCTCTTCTCATCTGACATGGCTAGACTTGATGCAGTGTGAGGCTGGCTGGACTTCTATTTTACCAGACTTTAAAACAGGCAGCAGTAGCTTGGTTTAGCTGTAGCAAAGTGAAATGTGAAGCCTTGCATGTGGTGTACCCTGTGTGCATGGGGAGACCCTACGTACCATCTAGCAAAGGAGTGGATAGGGGAATGTAGATGACCTGGAGTACAATGTACTGGGAATTGTCATATGCCCTTCTGTAAGTCTCCAAGCAGGTGAGAACTTGTGGTGAGGGCAAAATTGTCTTGGAAACCTTCCTAAGCTGATGAAAACAACTATGCTGCAGAGAGGAGGAAGTCCTTTGTGATTCTTCTCTTGCCAGCATGGAGCTGTGCTGAAACAAGCCAGTCTGGGAGGACCAGGTAGGCTCATTTCCTGAACGTATTCCACAGCAATTTCTAGACAGAATTATTACAGTTCTTCCGCCTTGTCTGCATTTCCATGGAATAAAAGGTTCAGTAGCCTGGAAAACCCCCAGCCCTATACCTTGGCCCTCGTGGCTGGGAGTGTTATGTGTCTCTAACCCTGGGCCTCCTTACTATTCAGAAAAAGCAGCTTTTGCGGGTTTTTTTTAATGTTGTGAATTTAGACTAGAAATAAGTTAATATTTGTGCTGGGGTGGGGTGGTTCAGAGTCAAAGATTGTCATAACGCAGGACTGTCCGCTGTTGCCTCGTCACTTCAGGCGCATTGAATTTTTGTACTGTTTGAAATTGTGTCTTTTTAGGCTTCTTGGTTTCTCCTCACCAGCCTCCCCGTTCCTGCTGCCAGGATTGTGGCATTGCTAGTTCTACCTGCAAGTGCTCAGACTGTTTCTAAAATCCTGCTTTTTTTTATAAGCTATATTAAGAACCTTTAAAGCAGGGGTGTCCAACCTTTTTGAATGTGGGGCCGGATCACGAACTTTTTATCGCCCAGTGGCCTGGCGAGCCATATTCAAAGATGGCACAGGAAGTGGTATCATATCCGGAAGTGATGTCACATGACCCTTGACACCAGTGAAGTTGCAGGGGTTGACATGGTGCTGGTTGACATGGCATGTATGCCTGGGTTGACACAGTGCTGCAGGAGCCGCTTGGCTACAACTGGGTTGACCTGGTGCTGGAGAAGCTGCGGGGCCAGGCTGGGTTTAACCTGGGGCCTGCCCAGCCTGCCAGTGCCATGCCCGGGTTGACATGGTGCTGCAGGACCCGCCTGGGCAGAACCAGGCCGGCATCAGCCAGGAAAAGCAGCATGCAGCTGAAGCCAGCTTCCTATGTGCTGCTGGGGACAGGAGGAGACCGGCCAGGTCTGCACCGGCCAGTAGAAGCGGTGGCAGAGCCATGTGCTGCTGGGGACTGACCGGTGTAGGCTCGTCCTGTCCTGTCCCGTGCCGAGTGGCACATGGCCCCACCACCATTTCTGCTGGCTGGAGCAGACCTGGCTGGGCTCCTCCTTCCCCAGCAGCACATGAGAAGCGGCCCCCTTGGGGCCTTGCGCGTGGGCAGCCAGGCCCGGAGAACTGCAGCGCCCGGGGAGAGACTGGCCGGGGGAGCCAGCGGCCGCTGCTTGGTGTCTTGCGCGGGGCCGCTTCCCCGGTCCCCGTGGGGGTAAGCAGCTCCCCTCCCCTCGCTGCTGGCTGGGGCCTGCAGGTCAGCCCTGCCTGTCTTGCCGCAGCCCAGCTGCTGCTGTGGCTCTGCGCTCTGCTGCTGCTGTGGTGGCGGCACGCTCAGCAGCAGCAGCTCTGCGCCCTGCGCCGCTGCCACCACCATTCTGTGCTCCGCAGTGGTGGCTCCGCACTCTGTGCCTCCACAGTGGCTCTGCGTTCCGCGGCGGTGGCTCAACACTCCGCGCCACTGCCGCCATGGGCCAGATAAAATGGCTTGGCGGGCCTCATGTTGGACAAACCTGCTCTAAAGCCTGTCTGCTTTATCCCTCTAAATGCTTGGAAGCTGTTAGAACACGGAGTAGCAGGGATGCCATAGTAGGTTGAGATTGAGCTTCAAAGGCATTTAGACTGTCTGAAGACTGTAGCGGAGCTGCTGTATTTATACAAAAGAAAAGAGAATATTTGGAGGTGGCCTCTCGATTCCCTGTTCACTAAGGTGCAGTGTTTTCTGATTTATCTGATGTAAATGAGGTGGGGAGACTTGCTTTACACCTGGCTGTCTCTTGCTCCTTTAATTCCCTTGGGGTTGCCCAGCTTCCTTTTCTGCTCATTGTGGTGGTTGAATGGTTTTCAGGACACAGGTGTGAGAAACTTGTACGGATCTGCCTGTAATTTCTGGTTTGGGGATTTTTGTCAATTTTCTCAATAAAATTTGTTTAATTTTGTTGGGAGAAACTCCTGAATAATCTGTGTGAGAATCTTGTCCTCTTCATGGCACATACCTGCTAACTACTGCTTCCTGCAGTGCTGCCCTCAGTCTTCCAAAGCCAGTCATCCAAACACAAGGACCCTGGTAAGCTTTGGGACTTAAGAGACTCAGGGTTTCCTCTGGTTCAGATTTTACTAACAGATTGTAAATATGTTTTTCTAAAGAATGGAGGTGAACTACAGGCTCCTACAAAGTGCAAAAGCGACCAGTCTCTGTCTAGTGCAGCACAGTTGTCTTCCTGACGATGGCTGCTTGACCTCTTATGAAAGGGCTACCTCTAATGGGAGCAAGAATTCCTTGTTCATTAAATCTATGCCCTCATCACTAATTGTGCAGTCTGAGGATGGTTACCATTTCTGAACCTACCACTGTTTAGTTTCACTAACTTAGCTTGTAACAGAGTTGGATTTGTGTTGTCAACATGAAATGCTCTGCACCTGCTTTAGCAATCTGTGACATACAGTTCAAGTTAAATCCTATTCATGAATAGAAGAAGTTGGGTTAGTTTCATCTTAAATTCACACATTAAAGATGAGATTGCCCCATGTGGATGACAAATAAGCAGCAACTAGAATACACTGGAACCTATTCTCCCATTCAGGTAGAGCTCCGTTGCTGTGTTAATATACATCTTTCTTGGACACACCGTCTCCTACTACATCTTTTTCTCACCTGCTCTGTGCATGGAGACTGGAGCCACTGGTAGGTTCTTTCATGACTAGTGAACCAGTGTTGTTTTTATGAAAACCCTTTGCTGCCCTTGGAATACAAAACAAAATAATTCAGACAAGTGATTCAAGGAAAACTACCGTTCCTCAGTGAAGATCTTTTAAAAACCAATGTAATTCATGATTTTGTGGCAGCTTGCTTTTTATAATATGTATATCCTATGGACATTGGTTCTCATGGTGGACCATGCTGAGGCCTCAGCTATTGTGAATCCTCCCAGGTAGTGGGCTGTCTGCTGTATTTATACAGTGTCTGGCATGCTGGGCCCCAGCCTTTTTTAAGTACTACTGAAATACTATTAGATGGTGTTGTCAGTCAAAATTTCAGAAAGCCCCTCCAGGTAAGACTTATTTTCTCAGCAAGTCCTTGCTTGAGTTTTAGGTATGTATTCACTTAGAGTTATTCTGTTTGGCAAGTTTGGATCTGGGTCTGACTTAAAGTGTTGATGGTGCTGATCTGGTGCATTAGTTCACTTTCCCCTCTGAGAAGTGGGCTGAAGCTGAATGTAGCAGTCTGCCAGCTCGAGGAACCTGGGGGCAGTCTGCAGGTTGGTAGGGACTACAGCCCAGCTGCAGGCAGTAAAACCTGATTACAGGCTACCTAGGAGGACTGGGCCAGCTCAACCAATTAAGAGGGCTCCTGGGGGAAGGAGCCAGAGGGAA